GGATTTTTTTAATCTAGTTTCCTATGAAAACAAGGTTCCTGTGATCCCTGTGTGCTTGTCTGTCTGCCTGTCCTGCCCAATAACTTTGAACTCTTTTCTTTGCTGATTTAAACCAGATTTCACGGAGAGGTAGAAGTCTCAAGGATAATTAAGTTCCTAAAAGGTTCATATGAGTAGGAATTTGGACAGAAAAAGGAATTTAGAGTTAGAACAGGGAAAACGCTTGCATTAAGGGCTTTTGAGTCCATTGACTGGCTTCTGCCACCCATGACAGGTCATTGCTGGGGACTGTGGGAACAGGGTTATGTGCTGGTGGGAAAAGCAGGAAGTCTTTGTGTCATTCAGAGGAGTCAGCCACAGGAAGCACCTCTGCGGCCTCCGGAGCTCGTGAAACTGATCCTCACATATCCCCAGGTTGGCACTCCTGGGTTTTGCCAGCCCTTGGCCCAGCCCGTGGGCATGACAGCTTTCCCCTGACCGTGGGGAACTGTTTGTCACTGCAGAACAGTCACCAGCCCCATCTCTGGCACAGCGCTCTCCTGTCACTCCTGCTCTCCCTGTCTCCCCACTCCGCTCACCCCATGCTCACCAGTGAGCAGATTTACTTGCTTGGCATAGGTGTGAAAACTGCCCCAAGAGAAGAGCGCAGCCCTCTCCTATCTCTGCCAATAACCAGTTGAGAAACAACCAGCTTACTCGTTTTTTCAGTGATAAAACGCATTGCCTTTCCCTCCCCAGGAGAGTACCTGCCCTGCTCTGCAGCACCTGGAGCTCTGGCCTTCAGGTGAGGACATCTGCTACTTGATTTCAGGTTTCTTCACTCAGAGGAGCCTCCAAGGATCTGCTTTGATCCTGTTGGACAATGGAAATTAAATTTGGGCCTCAAAATCACTAACTGGAGCCAACCTTTTCAAGCAACACCCAGTGGAGCAGATGGCAGTGACCCCCATTGCCACTACAGGCCCTCAGAGAGATGCTTGGGGTGCCTGGGCTGCGCTGGCTGGAGCAGAGGAGCTCTCCTTCTCCCCCACAGGTACAGCTCAGCAAGCTGCAGCACAGGGCAGTCCCCAGCGCAGGAGCTGCTGGGAAGATTGTGAAATAAATCCTGGCAGAGCAGCTGCATGAATACTCAGTTTAATTTAAGATCGAACGCTCACAAGTCCGACTACAAAGTGGTCTCACTTGTTGGGGCATTCTTGTAGCTTTTTCTTTAATCGAGTAAAATTCTAGAGGTCAAATTTCACCCTCAGTAGAAGGATGTCTCAAGGTTTCCAGCATTTCTAGTGGAAAAACCCCAGAGCGGAGCCCATTTGCTCTGAGAATCGCATGATGGTTCATCAGGGCTTTTTCTCCTCGACGTGTTGCCCATTTTATTAACTTCTGCTTTGCTTTAAAAAGATGCATCTACCATTTTGCTTCCCTAAAGAAGCTCATGTTATAATTCAAGTGTCAGGACAGATTAAGTTAAATGTGCTGTGTGATTCCCAAAGGAAAACAAACTTCCAAACATCCTCTGTTTGCCTTGTTCCATGTCATGGATTGCATTAGAGCCGAACATGTAATTCTGTCGCCTAATGTGTTAAAGTTGGCAGGAATTTTACTCTCTGTGCAAGGTGAGAAATTACTGAGCTAACAAAACATTTCGTTTCCCCCTCCTTGCGTTCCTTCTTTATGAGATTCTGAATGTGACATTTTCACAAAAAATCCCTACACTTATTTGTGAAAAATGTATATTAAAACCAAAACACATCAAATGGAAAGAAATCACAGATGGTTTTATTCACAAGCAGCAGAATTAATGGCCTTCCCTACTCTTTATAAATATTGGAAGCAGATGAGTTCATTACTATTTCACTCTAATAAAGAAAACCTGTTTGATTTTGACAAGACATCTACTTATCTAGTGTTTTCTACTGAATAATAAATCTATTTTCTTTGAAAAATAAAATTTATCACTAAACAAAAACCGGCCTGGAAAATTTGCCAATCAAAAAAACCCCAAACATCTTCATTTCTGATAGCGCCGAAATGGAATTTGAGGGATTTTGAAAATGTCACTAATTTTCAGACTAGAAAGTTTTGAAATGTTTACTTTGTGGTTGTCTTAAATTTTTACATCTTTCAACAAAGCAAGCAGAAAAGTGAAAACATCTGAAAAGGCTTTTGAAAAGAAAAGAGTCAGCACAAGCTGGATGAAGCTGTGGGCTCCTTTATCTTCCAGAAATCCGCACACATGGAGCAGAGTTTATGAGGGTTTTTTTAACCCGGCATTCAAACACTTCCCAGTTCACAATCCTGACTCCATCATGTTTGCCAGAGCTTCAAAGTGCTGCTGGCAGCTCTTCCTGTGCGGGGATAAAACATCTTACCCAGGGGAAGCAAAAGCTGAGTCATTTTTAACCCCAAACAACATTCACTGATGTGGTCATCTTGTTAGTCATGGAAATCCCGTGTTAGCTCTGTTTGTGCTTCTTTCAACACTTATTAACCAAGGAGCGAGGAGGTTTTATTTTAAACTGCAGAAGATGTTTATCCTCCCTAGGGCCATGACAATCAGTTACATGGCTTATCCATCATTCCAGAGAAAGGAAAGGATTTTGAGAAACTCCCCAGGCAAGTTAATTTTTAAAGCAGTAGGAGGGAGAGGAGAAAAGAAAACAAAACACCACCAAAGCCACCGGCTCACAAAGCCCCAAGAGCCTCTGATGACACAGGGACTGCGCCAGCCGCCCCCAGCCCCTGCTGCTCCCCTCAGGCGCTGGGAGCATTTCCCTGGGCAGGAACGGCCACAGGGCCCCTCCAGAGAAACCACTGCTCCCGCGTCTCACAGCGCTAAGCAGAGCACAGACGTTTTCCTCAGAAACCAAATTCCGTGAACGATGGATGTGAGCCAGCTCCAGTGCCGGTGCTGGGTGAGGGCTCCCAGGCACGGGGTGTGCTGTGCCACAGGACTGAGCCCCCAGCCCTGGCAGCAGGTGAAGAGAGCCCTGGAGCCACGGGCTGGCACGGGACGGGCCCACTCTGCTTTATGTCCTCCCCACTCCCCTCCTCCCCAGCCAGGACATTCTATCAGGTGCCACTGACAGCTCCCACGGCAGCCACAAGATGCTGCCTCTGAGGTTTTTGTGCAACAATTGGTACTGCTTTCAAAAGGTTATAAAAACATATGCCTGAAGAGAATGTCGGGAACTTGGGTATTAATCTCCCTTAATTCAAAGAGCACTCAAAATAAGCGAGACAGAAATACTGTCTGGGGTGAGAAGATGCCAGAGGTCAGATTGTGCACCACTAGCTTGGGTCAAGTTCAGAAGAATAATAACTTAGCACAAAGAAAAACAAGTTTCAGTGCAGTGCAGTATTAGCCTCCCCTGGCTGAGCAGCCCATTTCCCTCAGGGTTTGCTGCCCCAGCCATGCAGGTACCAGGCTGCACTGGTGCCAGAGTGGTCACTGCAGCCCAGGGTGCCAGTGCTGCCCTCGGTGCTGCCTGCCCCATCGCTGGGCTGAGGATTGCTCCAGCCAGGCTTCACCCAATCCTGCCCCATAAAACACGTCACTCGAGTTTGTTTTCATTTTGCAGCATACCTGTAGAGCAAGACATTTTGGACAAATTTTTCAAGGCTTTTTACATCCAATTTCCAAGGAAAAAAGCCCACAAACAAGAGCACATTCCCTGTAGGGGATCATGTTGCCACCTCTGTAGTTCACTCTTCCAATCCAGGTGGTTGTTTCAGTCAGAAAATTAAAACACAAAAGCACACAGAATTATCTGATTAAAACAAGTTTCATTTAACAAATTATATTAAGAATACAGACGGAGTTATCACACAATGAAACTTCCCTTTGTAAAATACAGGAGGGTCATCTAAAATAAATATAAAACATAGTAACATTCATAAGATTAATGCACAGTAAAATCACTTTCAGTAACCCAACCATCTTAGAAAACCACCTTACAACTGCATAAAAGGTTTCTCTCTGCCATTTGTATGATGACATTTAAATCTGTTGCTGTTAGGAAACAATTTCACAACAAAGGACCAGAACAGCCCAAGCGTTTGGTTTCCCTGTGGTGAATGAACGGAGCAGCACCTCGCAGAGCTTGTCTGTGAGCAGAGGAGCAGCTCTGCCCCCCGTGTGCCCCTCTGCCGGGGGATTCCCGGCAAGGCTCCAAGGCTGAGGTAATCATTGGTGGGTGTAGTGAGGCTCCCGCCTTTGGGAGGAGCAGGAGCAGCTCGGGGGGCACGGCTGGGCACACAGGCCGAGCTGCCTGGGGAGCAGCGGGCGGCGAGGCCAGCACGGCACTGCGGCCAGCACGGCACTGCGGCCAGCACGGCACTGCCAGCTCCGTCCCGGCCCCTCTGCCAGGAGATTCCCGGCCCCGCACAACAGGAGGTGCCAAGGCCCGGGAGGCATGCCCTGGCACCAGCACCTACCTGGCACCTGCAGTGCCCATGGCAGGAATTCTCCAGGCTCGGCAGCACGTGGGTTCAGTCTGGAGAGCTGAGGACACTGAGGGAGCAGTGGTGGGTGTGAAACCAAACAAGCCCAATGCTACAGACTACCAACAACCTCCCACAGCACAGGAGGCTCCCAGCCAGGAAACCTCCAACAAACACCGTGGGGACACGCAGGGACAGTCACAGGAAAAGTCTGACACAGTTTACTCCTATGGAACTACAGATATGAGGTGCTCCCTTAAGGGAAGACACCTACTACAACTATTCACACTTGAATTGTATCACGAAGTTCACACTCTACATCACTTTCTGGACTAACTTCTTGCCTTCCCATGATCAACACAGCAGAAAGCACAGCCTGGCCTGGGTGGCCACAAGTCACCTTGGCACATGACCAGCTTCTTGCCGTGAGGAATCCAGGAGGCAGCGTGTCACTAGGAATTCACATCAGAAGGCATATTTTACAGTAAGCAAACCCCTCACTGCTGCTTTTCTGTCTCTGTTGCAGATGTATAATAATTTGGCAAACTAACTTCTCCATCAGCCACAAGATTAAACTACCTAGAGACCAGTTTTGTTCTACAAATTCAGACAAGATAGCCAAGAACATCTGGTAAAGCTCTGCAAATTCGCTTCTGTTGCTTTCCACTGACTCCTCCCCTCCCCTTATGCTGCAGAAGGCTTCTCCTCAGCCAGACAACATCCACATCAGACACCCTGGACGTTTATTGCCTGGGCCAATTCTTCCACAGTCACCGCTCGGACAGGGAGGGAGATGCAGAGATGCAGGTACTGGCCATGGCACATGCCAGCATGGAGCGCTCACTGTAAGGATGCAAGGACCAGCCTTGCAATGAGCTGCCGTGAGTACTAAAGTCATGGAGCAGCCAATAAAACCTTCCAGTGGAAATGCTGACCTGACAGCCCTGGTCTCAGGAATTCAGCAGTGCAATAAAAAAAGCTTCCTCTGATCAGTGGACTGAGAAGTTGACACAGTCAACCACCCTGCATGGTGTCTCACTGTGCTTCCAAGCACTGGCTCTGAGCCCTCTCCCTTTTGGAACTGCCTAGTTTTGGAGCCTGAGAGCTCAGCTGGCTCTCAGCAGGTGCAGCTTTTTGTTCAGAACACCTTCATTGTGTTTGCCCCACAGGAACTGCATCTGTCCTGTCTGTGCATTTGAACCAGGCTGTCCCCGCAGCGCCGTGGTGCAGGACCACACCATGGAGAGCAAGCTCACCTCTCAAGGCTCCTTGCAGGTGAATCCTGAAGGAGCTTTGCTGGCCCAGTGTTAGAGAGGGAGAAGTAAGTATACAAATATATCCTGAAGATGTAGAGGCCTGTCCCAGCCGCGTATCCTGCCAGTGTTTCGAGTATCCAGTGTTTCCTGTGGGTCACTGCAGAGCAAGCTGAGCAAACCTAGCAGTTGGTATAAGTTCTAAAGCACTGATTTTCTCTTACAAAAGGGACTTGGAGCTCTGCACCCATTTTCCCAGATGAACCCAGGGAGTGTGGCACCGAGTGTGGGGCTCGTGGCTCTCAGAACCTGCTCCTTGCTGAGCCCCTGTTCGCTATGCAGGCAGCCCTGCCCTCCTGGGAAGAGGTGGCTCCAGGACGGGCTCCTGGCAGCTGCCTCTCAATCTCCCAGTGGCAGGCACTGCCCTGGAGCTCTGCAGACTGTGCTGCGCCCCGTGCAGCCCTCGTTCCTCCACCAGGAGCAGGGAAGGTCAGCTCTCATCCCAGAGCTATGGGCAATGCACTGCTGCAGATGGCTCCTGCCTACCTGCCGTGACCACTGAGCCACAGGAGAAGCTATAAACGGATGTCACAGAAAACTACAGAACAAATTACAAGCAGAAAAATAGAAAGACAAAAGATGGATGAGATGGGCACAGCACTACGGCACAGAGTGGATTTGAACTTGAAGTGAACCTGAGCCGAATGACCAAGCTGCCATGGTATGTTCATTTGTCAACGTCGGCATCATCAATCTGGCCTTTGTGAAGCCTGGCAGTGAGGTCTGGCTTTTCTTTACTGCAGGATAAATAACAACTAAAAATGGTGGTGCAAGCTCCAAGTAAACGAGCACTTCCAGGGGGTCACCCGAGGGCTCCAGAGCTGGTGCACAGCTTTAACTCTTTTGCCCAGGAATAATGCACATGCAACCAAATCGGCCTCTGCTCTCCAACCACATGGCCACTCTACAGACATAGCTCCAGAAAATTATTTACCTGATCAGAAGAAGCTGAAGCAAAGATCTGGACTCAGTTTGTCCCAAATGTATTTTGTGCTCTTCATCCCAGCAGTACAGTGTGGTGCCTTAAAACCAGAGATGAATCTTTGGACAAGAATTATTTTACTTATGTACAAATAAAAAATATTAGCTGACAGTACAAATACTGCTGTTAGTTACCACTCTGTGCAACTAGCAAATGCCAGATCAATCCAAGGGAGTGCAAAGTAGGTTGGGGCACATGTACGACCCAGGCTGAGAGCAACAGCACTGTTCCTGTTACCATGGCAATTGCATTTCAGTGGGGTCAGGGAATCAGTATTTTACAATACAAAAAATTGTACATTTTAACTCTTACTCCAAAATTGCCATTTTGCTGCCATGATGTATGTTTGTTCTACAGCAGAGACTTGAAAGAGCAGCACAGAGTCAGATGGGCACTTGTAAATAACTTATTACAGCAATGGACTTCTCCAAGACATGCGTTTGGCTTGGGAGCAAGCCCGGTCAGCGATCACAGGGAGGCAGAGGTCAGGGTTTAATGCATCCCGCTCTCATCCTGCGCCATGTCAGTCTTCAGTGCTTCCCCATGAGTGCCCAGGAAACAGGCACATCTCTTTTGTTTTAGCAGCTAGCAGGGAACACGTTAGAGAACTGTCTCAATGATGGGCAGGTGATGGCATCCCTGCTGTCAGCAGGTCCACAGGCAGCTTGGCTGGCGTCCGCCAGGGTGTCGCTGCCAGCATCCATCCATCCATCCAGAAACACAGGAGGCTTGCTGCCCTAGATCCGTATGGACACACGGACACCCTGTGCAAAGCGAAGGTGCTTCATCTCAGGACCTGCAGTGCACCTTGGGCACCCTGCCTGCCCGGCCAGCGCCCAGGGAGAGCCAGGGGCCCTGGCTCCCCCAGCCTAGGCAAATCCAGTGACCACAGTGGATCTGAGACCGATCCCAGCCACAGCAGAACTTTTGTGCCCAGACCGTGGCAGAGGGATTGGCATTCACTGCAGCTGGGTTCTGCACTGGCCTGGGTGCTGCAGGAGCCTCCTGCTGCAAGGTGTGGAGCGCCAAGCAGCTCCACAGCAGCTTGTGTGGCAGTACCCAGCCATGCCTTCCATTGCTCCTTTCAGGGGTAAGATCTCTCCATGCTCCGCAAGCTCCCGGCTGTGTTCGCAGAGGTTTGCTACAGCTCTGGATTCTGTGACTGTCCTGCAGCAGGGTTACAAAGTGGGGATGAGCAAGGTGCTGCCTCAGGCTCCCAGTCCTCAGTCCTGTACTCACGTGGAGAGGGGTGTGCGGCGGGGTGGGGGCGGCTGCCCAGGTGCCCGCGGTGGAGCGGTGTGTGCAGGGCGGTGCAGCGCGGCGTGGCTGGACACGGGGAGGCGCGGGATGGTTCCGGGGCTGTGTCCCGTGTCCTGCTCAGTAGTATGCACGCACACACGCTCCGGCCGCGGCCCTCAGGACGGCGGCACCGGCGGGCAGCGGGTGGGGCTGGGCGGCAGGCGGGCTGCCGCGCTCTGCTCCGTCCGGAAGCTGTAGTCGTACTGTGGGGCAAAGCAGAGAGAGGGAACTGCAGCACTGACCACACAACACTGCCCACACCTGTGCTGGGACGGTGTGAGAAGCAGAAAAATGAGAGAAAAACCTGGGCTGACAACAGCTGGCCCAGGTAGGGCCATGCCAGGTGAACCTGCTGGTACCACCTGAGCTCACATCAGTGACCTCCCCAGGCAGGGCTCACCCCCTCCCCAAAACCCCGCATTAACACAAATGTGACCACGCTCATCCTGTCCATAAAGCAGCTAGTCAGAAACATTCCCCCTGGCAAGTTTACTCAAGCTGCTACCATCAGAATTAACGTTTTTGGTTGGCAAGAGGGTGAAAGTCCCTACATTCACACCCCTTGGGCCCACGGTGTCACTGCAGACAGGGGACATCCCTCGCAGGCTGGCGTGCACTGTAGCAGTGCCATCTCGTGGCACGCTGTGAGCCGCACCCGCCGGCCCGCGGCCACCCGGCCGCTGCCAGGGCACCCCAGGACAGGCCGGGGTAGCGGTGGCTGTCCCGTGGCAGGCGGGTGGCCAAAGCAACACCATGTGTTGGGGCTACCGAGGCAGGAGCTGCCTGCGACCGACCGTGGCACACGCACTGCAACGGCCCCGTACACGGACTCTCCTCTATGCATCTCCCAGTGCCGCATTTGTGGCCTTTGGAATCTCACAAACACGTCCCCCTGTGTGCTCCTCACAGCCGGACCAGGACAAGGGATGTGCCGCCACCAGGGCGGTGGGGCAGCCATCAGCCATGCCGGTACCTGGCCCAGGGCCGTGCCAGCAGTACCAGGGCCGTGCCACTTCCACCCGACGCCGACCTCCTTTTGGTGCCGGCTCGGGAGGACACCGGCGCGACGCTGAGCTACGGGAGCCCCGCTCCTGCCGAGCGCACAGGGCCGGCCATGGCGATGGATCCCCGGCGAGGCGGCCAGGGGCCGGCAGGGGGCGCCGCGGCTTCGTGCCGGGCCGGGCGGGAACGGGGCACCCCGGCCTGTGCCCGGCCTGTGCCCGGGGCCTGTGCCCGGCCTGTACCGGGACTGTATCAGAGTCTGTGCCTGGCCTGTACCGGGCCTGTGCCCGGGGCCTGTGCCCGGCCTGTACCGGGACTGTGCCCGGGGCCTGTGCCCGGCCTGTACCGGGACTGTATCAGAGTCTGTGCCCGGCCTGTACCGGGCCTGTGCCCGGGGCCTGTGCCCGGCCTGTACCGGGACTGTATCAGAGTCTGTGCCTGGCCTGTACCGGGCCTGTGCCCGGGGCCTGTGCCCGGCCTGTACCGGGACTGTATCAGAGTCTGTGCCTGGCCTGTACCGGGCCTGTGCCCGGCCTGTACCGGGACTGTATCAGAGTCTGTGCCCAGGCGGTACTGGGGCTGTACCGGGGCTGTGCCCAGGCTGTACCAGAGCCTGTACCCAGGCTGTACCGGGTCTGTATCAGAGCCTGTAGCCAGGCTGTACCGGGTCCTGTACCCAGGCTGTACCCAGCCTGTACTGGAGCTGTGCCGGGGCTGTGCCCAGGTTACACCAGGGGCTGTATCAGAGTCTGTACCTGGGCTGTACCAGAGCCTGTATCCAGGCTGTACTGGGGGCTGTACCGGGGCCTGTACCAGAGCCTGTACCCAGGCTGTACCAGGGCTGTACAGGGGCCTGTACCCAGGCTGTACCAGGGCTGTACCAGAGCCTGTACCCAGGCTGTACCAGGGCTGTACCGGGGCCTGTACCCAGGCTGTACCAGGGCTGTACTGGGGCTGTATCAAAGCCTGCACCCAGGCTGTACTGGAGCTGTGCCGGGGCTGTGCCCAGGTTATACCAGGGGCTGTATCAGAGTCTGTACCCGGGCTGTACCGGGCCTTTACTCCCCGGGGCCGCACCTCCCTGTCGCGATGCTGCAGCCGCTGGCATGCAATAGGCCTCATTTTTCAACACCCAAACGCATAAAGATGTCAGCTCAAACTGTTTACTAATTAACACTTAAAAAGACACAAATTAGATATGCGTGGCTAAGAGCAATTATAATCAAGACGAATCTCTCCAGTCATTGGGGAACTGAGGAAACTCCTAATTGCTGGAACCAATGTTTTAAAATCTGAAATCATGCCAGTTAGCAAATATGTTCATTTAAAGAACATTTCATGTGACTGCACTCAGGAGAATTGACTACAAACATGCAAACAAGGAAAAATATTTCTGTGTAAAATTAAAATTTTAGGCTCTTCTAGATTTACAACTTCTTCATTAAATATATTTGCAAAAAGGAGCCCATGAAAACTTGTAGCAATTTAGTGGTTAAATGAACTGCCTTCCTTATCACTTTAAAAGGAATGATGAATATTGGATGCTGCCTTTACTAATCAGACTCTCTCTAGACTTTTTACACCACGCCAAGCGCACATGAAGACAGGGTGCACCCTGCCAGCGGCCAGCCCGCTGCCCTTGCTGCACAGCATCCACCACAGAGCGGGGAACAGGGACAGTGCCACCACCCTGGCTGCCACCTGCACCTGCCCAGGCGCCTGCTCAGTGATCTACCCTACCGAGGGCAGGCAGGGGTGAAGGACAAACCCCCAGAGCCCTGCTGGGAGACTGGCAGCAGCGCTGTCTGTCCTACATCCACCAAATTAGCCATGAAGTGATGGCATGTGCTGCTTACACCTGCACCTCACCACCTCTTCATAGCCCAGCTCTCTGAGCACTCCCCCGGGCACAGCTGTGCCATCCTGGGGCAACAAGAGCGGTTCAGGTGCAGTCCAGGATTTGCACCTATTTCCATCATTTTCCTGACAGGGTAGAGTCCTGAAATTCAGCTGCCTGCAGCTTGGAGGATGGATGCATACATCTGCAAATGCGGTGACAGAGAACAGTAATTCTTAGAATTCTTTGGGAATATTTTTTGCAAGGCATCTTGCTCCAGGGAGAATGTTCTGGCTGCTTTGGATATCCAGAAGATTTGCTGTAATGGTGCTATTGCTTGCAAGGGAAATAAAGCCATGCCGAAATTCACAATATTTATATGTGTAGCTCTCTATGTGCAGACAAGATGCTTCATCAAGGAATATGGGCTGCATAATCATACTTTTCATTACGCTGGAACGCACACAGCCTGCTACAGAGCAGGAGCTGTGGGAGAGCAGGCAGGTCTTGGCCTCTCCTCGCTGCCCACAGAAATGACTGCAGTGCTGGTGTCCCCACCCTCCACAGGCCTGCGAGGGCACAAGCAGGGCTGTGCAGCCCAGCCCTCCCCAGGCAGCCCCCGGGCCGCCAGACCTTTCCCACACCAGGCAACGCACAGAGATGATGCAGAAGCAAATTCAGCACCAGACGGATTCCCCGTGGCCAAAGGGACCATCTGCTCCCTGGCCAGCTCAGGGCAGGCGTGGGACAGCAGCCAGGCACGGGGAAGGGCTGCCAGCCCTGAGCACCCCCTGCTCCCAGGGTCCCTCCTGACAGACACTGCCAGTCCCAAACAGAGGGGCGGCATGTGTGCCACGTGGCAGACTGCAGTGCCCGAGGCAGTGGGTGCATCTGTCAGCCACTGGCCCTGTCAGGCAGCATCCTCAGATCCACCACTGCAGCCACTGCAGTCCCACGGGGCGCCTGCAAAACCCCTGCCAACTGGGCCTGACCATCTTCTGTACTTGGACAAAACTTTCAGGCACAAGAGGGTGGATCTGGGAGAGACACGAAAAGTATTTTCCATAAGGGAAGGGTTCTTAAAAACAAGTGAACACAGCCCTCATGATTTGCTCAGTGCCTGGCTGGCTACTTACCTCCTTTTCAATTTCTGCAAGGGTTTTGATTGTGATACCCAAGAGATCAACCGGCTGCATCTGGCAAGAAAGAAACAAAAATGTCAGATTCAGGGTCAGGGAGGGGGTGTCTGTTTGTTTGTTTGTTGTTTTGTTGTGTTTCAAGTCAGCAAACACTCCATCACTAGAGATTTAGAGGCACCATCTGTAAACACAGGCACGATCCTGTTCCTCGCTGCAGCAGGAGAGTGAACAGCAGACGGTGGGCTGGGGCTCCCCGCTCCAGCCCTGCTCTCCCTCAGCACGACAGCTGACACTCACCCTGGTGCTGCTCCGTGCGGGCAGGGTGGGTCTGCAGCACTGGACGGGTTCTGTGGCTGCAGCACGAGGCGTGAGCAGCACCAGCTGCAGGAAGCCCTGACCAAACTGACCATATGGTGGCAATGGTGTCTAAAGGATCCGCGGGGAGGATTAGCACAACCTAATATCTCTGCATTTGTCCTCACAGCAGGGACTTCAGATTTCTGGGAATAATGGCCCATAAACAACCCTCTCAGAAAGCAAGGGATGTGAAAAACCGCTGTCAGCAGGAAGAAGAAAGCAAAAAGCTGGAGCACTACTGAAAAATCAGACACAGCTGATGGCCCAGTGTTTGCCTTAACAGCTTCCTGTAAATTGATTTTTAAAAAGATGCTGCTTTAGGATCAGATGGATTTGGGAACTGATTTGGATGCTGAATCTTTGAGCTCTGGATCATGAACCTTACCAAGCACGGGTCCAGTGACACCCAGAGGTCACTCTGAACCAGGAGCAGCGTTTCTGTTTGGGGAAGCAGACGTGCCCTGCCGTGCAGGCAGCAGCGCCCGCTGCGGAGCAGGCACCACCAGTGCCCTCTGCAGCTCACCCGCAGCCAGGCAGGGCCCTGGGGCAGCTGATGGCACTGGAGTGCACTGTGCCATTACCACTGCCCCGAACTTCTGCAGGGACAGCAGGAAGTAGTAAAGCTGCTGGCACTATGCCATCCTCACAGCAGGTAAATGCAGGAGAGCTCATCTCTGCAGCTTTCTTTACAATCTATGCTAAGAAATTAGAAATGCTTTCAGCACCAGGGAGTCCCATTGCCATTCCTATTTTTGATGGTAATAAACCTTGAAATCCCAGGACAATTCAGTTTTAGAAGCAATCTGGAAAAAGCCTTTCCCATCTAACGGGCAGCTATTGTGACATGCAACCTTGGCCCATCTCAAGCACTGGGTATGTATTTGGCCCCACAACAGAGTAGCTCCCAGAAGCAGCTAATTTGTCTTGATGTTTTGTGATCGCTCCCCATGAAACAATGGATTTCAGACACTGGAGAACAACAAACTCACCCCTTCAGGAGCACAGGCAAATTTCTCCGAAATCATAAAAGGCACTCCATCCATTGCTGAAAAGGACAAGACATCACATGTGACGTTTCCAGCTGCCTTCTGACATGCAACTTCACACATTCCCAGTGACAGATCAAGTGTTCACAGCACTGACACATGACTGATTGCTCCCAAGCGTTACTGCCAGCCTTTTTCTCCCTCTAAACTGCCAGTGGTTTCTTTACATTTAAGACATAGCTGGGTCAGTCCCTACCAAGCCAGGAATCCAACAAATTCTCCTTGCTCTATCCATATACAATTTCATGGCCTCAATTTTGCATTTTCCAGTTTTGTGCAGCTGGCAAAGCAGGACAGTATTTGAAACTAGAAGGACACAACTTCTATTAATCGCCTCCTCAGCAAACCAGTTCAGCACGCGGTGGTGTCTGAGCAAGAGGATAAGGGACAGCTGGTTCAGGGGACTTGCAGCCCCCAAAGCAGTCACCACCACCACCTGTGTACCAAGCAGGTAAATGATGACAAACACCTGGGGCCAAGCACCCTCCCTGGCCTGGCTGCTGCTAGTGTAAACTCAACAGTGAGCAGCAGCTCAAACACTTGCAAACCACATCTGGAGGATGTAAACCAATGGAATATGAAGACAGACATGAGGACACGACACCACAGGCTCATGTCACATGGCCCAGCTTTTTCTGTAGCATAACCTTAATGGTACTCAGAGCACTGTTTGCCTTTATACCATCTTGTATATTCATCCTAGTGCAATGATGGTCAGTGTTTGTGTCTTGCTATCACCATGTCACAGGAGGCCTCCCGCAAGACGTGGCAGTACAAGGGAGACATTTTTAAAACATGTAACTCAGCAATTTGCATGGAAGACTGAAAAGGGCATGTTTCGAAGGCAGCTCACACCCCAGATACACCCCCTTAATTGCACTTACACCGTTAACATCTGAAGTCTTTAAATTTCAACTTTGAAAGAAATAAAACTTCAAATCAGAGCAAATTTAAGCCCTGAGAGGCCCTCCACTGATCCTCAAATAGGATTTTCTTTCAGAAAGCATCTGCACCCACAAACCCAGTGCTCCTCTGCTGTTTCTAACTTCTACAGCACCACTGAGTTACCATTGAGTAGACTCAGCCTTTTACATTGGCTTTGTCTATTTCCAATATAAAACCCCCCTCCACTGGAGTAATTTTGTTATCAAAGGTGCTGCGTGGCAGCCACAGCGCAAAGGAAAACAAAAGGAAACAGATGAAAAGCAGCATCACCAAACCCAGGAAGTTTTAAACCTGAAAGACCATCTGCACTTGTTATCCGACAGGAACCCCCTTTGATCAGCCACATGCCAGCCTCTGTAAAGCAATCTAAAGCCTGAGCCAGGGAGAGTGTGCATCCCCAGAGCGCCCGGCCCACCCGGAGCTCAGCGCACACAGCAAAGCAGCAGATAAAAGCAGGGTGAGCCAAAGGCTCTGCAGCGCAATTAGCGCTCTCCTAAACAAACGAGCTTCAACAGAGCTGTAATTAAGCAGGCCTGTAATTAAGTATATGCCCTTTATCATAACGATCATGCTTAAAAATGGCACGATGCATGGAAGTGTGTTATTAATGCTGCGCTCCCCAAGCGCGGGAGCGTGCGCGGAGCTGCCGTGTCAGGCCCGTCACCAGCCTGCTGCTAAAATGCATTAAAGGCAGAAAGCAGAAAACAAGGTGCTCATTCAGCGTCTCCTTTCTCAGCCAAGCTCCGGTGTCACGAGGGTTTAAATACCACCAGTTCTGGAACCTTTACAGAAACGAGGCCCTGGGCAGCCGCAGCCACCGCCTGCCCCAGCACCAGGAGGGCAGCAGCCCTCAGCCCTCACCCTCAGCCCGTGGCTCAGCTGGGCTCCAGGAGCCCTTGGGCCACGCAGGGGCTGCAGGCAGGCAGGGACAGCCCAGACAAGATGCATGGGGAGCAGCGCTCCCCCCTCGCGTCTGCTCTCCCCGAGCAAAGCAGATGCTCTGGGGGCGGGAGCCTCCTGTGCCCCCACCCCACCCGTGGGGTCCCCTGCCCGCAGGATGAGACACCCACTGCTGCTGCTGCCCAAGATGGGCTTTTTCCCACTCACGAGGACTGCAAGGGCGTGCTCTTCTCCCTCAAAACGAAACAAAATAAAATCGGGTTTCAGAAGGAAAACTGTTTCCAATGGCTGTTTGCTGCCTCCCAGGACCAGCTCCTTCCTGAGGGTCACAGCTAATTAACTCAGGCACTGCAATTAGTTAAAAGAGTTGAGAGGAGCCAGCAGGTAAACCAGCCTCGCAAAGCGCAGCCCCAAAGGACAGCGTTCCCATGCATCCCTGACAGCAGAAGGGATGCCTCGGTGAGGTGTAGTGGACGTGTCCCTTCATGGGTGCAGGACCACCGAACACACAACCGCTTCCACCTGCCGGCTGCTCCTGCACTGTGATTTACCAAGACCTGCTCTCCGGCTCTGGTGGGGAGGACACCAAAGCATGCTCTATAATTCAACTTGCTAGCTCGCTTAGAAATCCTCTCTTTAATCTGTGAAAGTATTGTCACCCTTCTCTAAGCACTCGAGAGATGCTGCCTTCTGTGCTGCAGACTCCAACTAAATCTCAGTTGTCAAATTAGTAATTCATCTTTCTTGAATAACTATATTTTTAGCCAAGCTACCAGATTTAAATAATCAGACCTGCCAATGCTACCCTAATTTAAACATGCTGACGAACTTTCACAGGCAGCATCAGCTAACATAATGAGTTTCTGGATGACAAAGAACTTCAGACGGTAGTTCTCTACACTACCCAGCGTAATAAGCACTTGTTCTTTTCTACAATGTGCACATAAAAGAGAAATCTAAATAATAGTTGCTGTAATTATCTTGAAAAATATGTGGTGATTAATGGTGATTATGAAAATCTGTATAATTGTTCGCTAACGCTCCAAAGATCAGATGTTCTCTTGAAGCAACCATCAGTGAAGAACTTGGAAACACAAAAGCTTCCAAGCTGTGTCCATGAGAGCGGGATGACCCGTGTGCCAGCTCAGCCCTCACCCTGCCGTGACCTCTGCCACAGGCTCCAGGATGTCCACCACGCGACACATGTGTCATTGTGGCTGAAAGCACCGAGTTCAACCTGTTATTTATGCAAATAATTAATTACTCTTGTATCCAACTCACAGTTTGTCATGACACATTAATGACTTGATAGACTTCTATGAACTAGTGAGCACAGGACAGCAGAGCGCTTTTATCGCCATTTAATTTAAAAATGATCCTGTGTGAAATTATCTAGTTGTGAGTGATGGAAGCATAAAGAACAGACTCAGCAAAGCTTCTTTTGGATCATTGCTTTATTAATGGTAACGTCAGGGAAATGAAAAATGCTAACATTGTCATATTTAACTCCTGGGTACAGATGAATCGCTGCCTCAGAGCCTGGCAGGCTCCGTTTGCACACTGCAGCGAGCGCTAATTCCTCACACCACGATGGTGGGGATACACAGCCACACAACAGTTTATACACCTGAACTCCCAAGGAAATAACAGCTGTTTCTGCATTAAATTCTCACCATAAGCTTTTATAGCTTTGGATTTCTATATTACTGTTTTTGCATCGCCTGTTACACTAGAATTTTCAATTTCTGATATTAAAAATATTTAAATAAATAAATAAATCCCTTGCAAAATGTTTTCCTGCATGACTGAAAATGAAGAACTGCTAATCCAAACCAACAAAAAACCCAACACTGAGTGCACTACTACCACCTTTAAAATTTAAATGACCTTAGATTTTAGAAAGGGCTTCCTCTAACGCTGCAGAACTGTTCCAATTTTCCCCAGACCTGAATGCTAACAGAGTGTTTATCCTTTACCAAGAAGAGTATTTCATAAACCAGCCTACAGCAACACCATAAAACCAGCAGAGCTCTCCTGCTTAGAGAAAACTTGATTTTCAGCTAAATGGCACCAGAGGAATCTGAAAGCAGATTCAGAATCAGGGGCTGGCACAGAGATTTAAACAGCAACCTGAACAGTAAATGTGTGTGTTCTTTGTGCTACAGTGCACCCAGGCCCATATGGAACCACACCAAATCACTGAGGGCGAAACCTCGGGGCCAAAACCAAAAGCAGCCTTTCCCGACAGCTCCTGCCAAGCCAGCTGCAACAGGGAACCTGCAGCTGTCCCAGCTGTGCTCCCCAGCTGCAGACACCAACCCCAACACGCACACAGCTTCGTTGTGTCGTACAGGGCAGCGCGGAGGGGCAGGCAGGGGCACAGGCAGGGGCACAGAGGGGTGCAGGCTCAGCTCTGCTGGCCCAAGGCAAGCATGAGCCCGAGCCCAAGCTCATGAAAGCCCCAGAGCACTCCATGTGGCTCCTGGGCAGCAGGAGCTGTCCCCAGGGCTGTTGAGGGAATGCCCAGCGCGGTGCCCGGCGCCCAGGCCTGGCCAGGCAGCAGGGTGGCAGCAGCACCAAGGCACCCAATGCCTGGCGCAGCGAGTGGGACAGCAGGGGCCTCCTGGGCTGGGGAAGGAACCTCTGCTTTGGGAAAGGTTTACAGCTTTCCTGTTCCTCTTGAAATGACTTTGATTAAAAAAACAGACCTGGACTAAATTTTCATTTTTGCTAATTTGATTGTCAGCCTTGATTTTCTTCGTTTCCTGCGTAGCTCATGTCATGGCACAATTAGTTCTTTACTGCTAAGATCAAGCCACGAAAACACTTGAAAAAGTACCCCTGGATTTGATTATTTTCTTTTTTAAATAAAGTGAAGGTTAAGTGCCGCATGGTGACGCCTAAGGAGCACCTCAGCACTGTGGCTCCATCAGCACCAGAGAACATGGAGAGACTTCAAACAAGCTCTTCAAATTGCAAGTGTTTAGGAGCTCTTGATTTTATTATTTTTTAATAAAATGTCCCCTTTGAAGTCTCTGCACCACACTAAACTTCAAAGATCACACCTTAGCATGTGCTGTTTCCAAGCCACAGCCCCTAATTAATTAGAGCAGAGCAGATACAAACCAGGGCACTCGCGTGGGGCTGAGGCAGA